TTTAATTTTGATTCTACAGATATGTAGAATAGGGTTGAAATTACGTTTTACAAACCTAAAATGCATGTAATTTCACGTAAGTTTTAATAACATGGATTTCATGTAAATTTCACACGTGATATATAGTACCAACACTATGAAAAACTCAGCTAGCATTATTGAACTACAGTAGATTCTGCATAAGGTTCACAAATCGATGTTCGTATGATCCAACCAATCATATGAGCGTGTTATCACGTTCCTTACAAATTACATGATAAAAAAACATCGAATTTGATTGAATGGCTCAAAGCTTTATAACCATAATTTTTGTAAAACTTTGAACGAAGATATCTCAGCAAACATCCAACCAAATTTGATGAATTTTTTTTTATTTTGATTCTACAGACCTATAGAATCAAAATAAAAAAAGTTTTTAGAATTGGTTGGGCAGTTGTAAAGATATCTTCACTCAAAATTTTGAAACCATTTAAAACGCCTATAAAAATAATATCCGCGACAAAATTTTGTAAAACTTTGAGCGAAAATATCTCGGCAACCACTCAAGCAAGTTTAATGTTTTTTTTTTATTTTGATTTTACAGATCTGTAGAATCAAAATAAAAAAATTTTATCGAATTTGGTTGGGTTGTCATTGTCGTTGAGATATCTTCGCTCAAAGTTTTGAAACCATATAAAACATCTATCAAAATAACAGATTTGTAAATGTTTGAGCGAAAATATCTTGGCACCCACTTAATCAAATTTAATGACTTTTTTTTTATTTTGATTCTACAGAACCATAGAAACAAATAAAAAAGAAAATTGTCAGATTTGTTTGGGTGGTCGTTAAATATCTATGTTCAAAGTCTTGAAGTAGATTTACCATATACTAAAATACATCAAGGACGTAACATAAATCTAGAGTACATTTTGGGCTTACCAAAAAAGCAAAATTAAATGTGTAATTTTGGTCTAAATACAAACGCCCGTAGCTTACCCACGAAAAATTTTCCGGAACGTGATTTTTAGCAATTAGATCGAAGGAGCAGGTGCAACGTGAAAATCACGCATTTTTGTCAATAACTCGAAATTTTATCTATGAAATTGCCTTTGCGTTTTAACAAAAAAAAAAATTCCTTGCGAATTTTGGTATAAGCTATGCCCTCCTCTTGGCCTTAATCCTAACTTTAAAGATGCGGTTTATTGATTGAAATCTTTCGCTTAATTCGATTGTTTTGATTTTTACGTTATACCTGATCCATCGATCTATTGGCTAAAAATCACGTTCCGGAAAATTTTTCGTGGGTGAGATACAGAATTGGTGTTGGTGTTGTCAAAGTCATGTGAGCATGTGACCAGTATAACCCCTAATTTAGAAAAATTTATGCGCATTACATATTTAGGCATACTATTTTGAGGAACGCGATTATTTTTTTTTTTTATTTTTTAAAATTTCTCTTTCTCGAAAATTAACAAAATTTATTATTACAAACTAACTCTTTCTAAAACCATTATGAAATCAAATAAAGAAAACACCAACGATTCTGGTTCGTCTACTATCTTGAATCGTGGTCAGAAACGAAAAGCAGTTACTACTAAGGAGGCTGCGAAATCAAAAATCCCAAAATACCTTTACCACGGTTGTAAGTTGGTTTAATTTTACACTTGCATCGTATTAGGATATAAATTTAATACATTTTGTTTTTTAGTTATTGTCACATATATCAAAGAACGCAATAATTATTCTTACAATGAATTTCTACTTCATAACCGTGACAATATTATCGCTTCTATATCACCAACAAATAAATGGCGTTACTGTACATTGGGTCCAACGGTTTATCAAAGTAGCAGAAGCAAATCTAAATAAAAGGACTTCTGCAGAAATAAAAAAGCAGATACGATTTTGTTTATTTTACAAATTGGGTGCAACACATAGTTACGTTGCTGTGCTGATCGAGAAAAATATTGGGTCCGTCAAACTTGGTAACCACTATATGGGCGGATTTTTTTGATTTGGTGATTATTAAATATTAATAATATTTTATAAAATTTAATCCAATTATTTACGTGATATTGCGTACGATTGCATAATATTTATAAATCATTTATAAATCATTATGTATATCGCGTAATTTAGTAATCACAACATCCCCATCAAAAATTTTCACCCATATGACTTCAAGTTTCAAATTGTACCTTCTTTCACACGGTTTGTACATACTAATTCTTCTTCATAAACAGGTTTAATGCAGAACGTAAGCTACACGCCAAAAGATTACAAACGTTCGGAAAAGAAGCACTTAAAGGGAAGAAACAAGACCTGTTGTATTTTCAACATCAAAAACAAAATCTCCCATCAGCATACAAGATGCCTATGGCAACTTTGTTATAATACTCTAATAAATTTAATTGATAAATAAAAAAGATGATTATATTGAGATTGTGACTATATCAAGAGTGATTATAACGAGATCAAATTGTAACTATATATGCTTACCTACACTAAGTAAAATTCCCAATTTTGAGCCAAAATCCCGAAAATCAAAATCGCGAAATTTAATTATGTCGTGGATAGTCTGCTTATGATTAGAAATATGATTATTAATCATAAGCGGAATTCGAAAAAAAATAAAAAAAATAAGTGGAATTTTGCTCCAGAATCAAAATTCCCTTATATAGATTATTCTTTTACCCTATTCTACCGTAAATAAGCACCATCCCTCTAACACATTTTTTAAATGTAGATTAGCGAAATCGTAATAAGATCTTTAGCCAAGTTATTCCCGCTAATCTGACATTTAAAAAAATGGGGTAGAGAGGTAGAGGGGATGATACTTATTTACAATGAAATGTGTTATTGGATTATTAGTCGACAAGTATATGGGGTCTTTCATATTAAAAGGGCCCATTTTGCAATATAATTTTGAGATAATTGAGTTGAATCATTTGTTTTGATTTTCGGACTGATCCGGGATTAAGCAAATTTCACGATTTTG